CCTCCAGCTTGTCTAGGTGCCTCTCTAGGTGGCCCTGCATTTGAGTATATCTGCTGCTTCTCCCAGTTTGGTATTAGCTGCAAACTTGACTTACCTCCTCCAGGTCAGTGATGAAGTTGTTGAATGACATAGATCCCTGCAGTATTCTGCTTGTGATGGGCCCCTAGATAGACCATGTCCCATTAGCTACTACCCTTTGAGCCTTCCTTTTCTTTTTTTCCCATTCAGTTGTCTATGCGTTCAGACCATAGTATCCTAACTTGGATTCAAGAATACCATAGAAGATATGTTTGTAAGGAAGCTTTCCTTACAAAAGAGCTTTTTAGTATATTGGGCAGAAAAACTTTAAATGCCTCAAAAATGGGAGAGCCAAAGCACACACTATGGGATTCCCTGCCAGCACATGTGAGTGTGGCCCCCGCAGTGCCTGTAGAAGCAGAACTGCATGCTCCAGCCAGTCCTGACAGATGACTGAGTTTCCCGGTTGGATAGTCTAATTGGATAAAACCAACTTTATGCCAGTAAAATAAGCAGTACGGATTATCAACTCTGTTTGCACTAACATGCTATTATAGATGGAGTTCAGCGGATATTTTTGTGGGGGCTTTCTGGTGTGACTTAGCACCAAGGAAGCTAAGTAGCAAGTCTAACTGTTGAAATTTAATATTTTTCACACAAAAGTAGAATTACAAACTCAAAGCACAGAAGGGGAGTGCAATTTGCATGTTCTTTCACAATGAATGAATTATTTATTAACTGGTCATATTAAGCAGTACAAGCAGAATTAATATTCTGTGCACAGCTGAAGCTGTAAGACGGCAGCATGTTTCCATCAGAACTCTGCTTATTGCTTGCATTTTCTGATAGGGTGATGAATTCTTAGAATGTGTATGGATTATTAAAGTGGCAATATTCCTAATTGTAAAATCATTAATGCTTCTCCCCAGAAAACTTTTTCACCAAGACCCTGCGTTTCATGTTATAAGAAGTTATAACCTCTTAATGTGAAGATCTTAATTTTTCCAGTCCAGATTTTCCTGAGAACATTCCAAACACTTCATTTGACTTGGCTAAGGAAAAGGTTAAACTTCCCTGAGCATCTAAATTAAAGAGGCTGAGGGAATGTTCTTTTTTTGCCTTTTTTTTTTTTCTTTTTTTTGCAAACCATTGCTAGGAAGAGCATCCCAAAACAGAGTGGTAGGAATGGTAGTTTGTTCATTTTTGCCACCTTTTAATTTCTGTGCAGTGATCATACGAGAAGGACATATGATCCTTCCTTTAATGGAAGTCTTTGTTTAGTTCCTAAGTTCTTGTTACAATGTTCATCCTTGCTTTGGTGAAGTGAATACAACAAAGGTGGGCATAGTCAAGTATTTGACTTTAGAAACTTACCTGATCCCTGAAAAGCAGCTTATAGGGCATTTTCAGAGATCCAGAGGAGTTTGATTTACTTGATCCAGAAGAAGGCATTCACATTATTGGTGGGAGTAACTAGAGGTTCAAGTGCTCCACATGTCCTAAAATTGGGCTTCGTAAGAAGTTGCTAGGTCTTCATCTGTGAAAGCAGGTGGTACATCAATCCTTTCTTTCCTCTACCCCAGCTCATTCTACTGTTTTCTTCCAGGATATATCAGAACTAAAAACCACATTTGCATTCACAGGGCAGGAGTACTTTAATTAGAGCAATGGAACTCAAACTAGTGCTCTCCTTTATGTTTTCCACAGGGCAAGAAATATAATTTTTCTTGTAAATGAAATCTTAAAGAGAGATCTGTATGAATTTGATGACATATGGAAACAGCTCAGCAATCCACAGTGGGGTCACAGCCTCAAGGTTAAAAAGTAATTGACTAGTGTGTGAACAAAGCTACAAAGAAGGCGAATTCTAAATATTTAATACTGATATTTCTCTTCTCCTTTCTCTTTTCACAGCATTGGAGAGCATGGAAGGATATTATTACAGAGACAGTGTCTCAGTAGAAGAATTTCAAGCTCAGATTAATGCAGCCTCACTAGAAAAAGTCAAGCAGTATAACCAGAAACTACGGTGGGTAATAAACCAACGTTCCTGAGATTGGTGTACCAAGTTCTGCTTTTCAGCTCAGTTTGTGTGACGCATCTTTAAACTGAAGTGCGCTGTATGGTGGTTGTTTTTCAGTGCATGATTGGATAAGATCCAAGATTCATAATTCTGAGTTTTTTGATTTCTGCACTGTTAAGTTACTTTTTAAAAAATTGTTTTCCCATGAAACCTATAGCTGTAATTGCCTCCAGGTTGTTGTACTAATGCATATAGAAAAGGAAATGGCTACTTGATCACAAATGGAGCGTCAGAATTGCTGAACATTATGATCTGATTTTGCAGGCCATATTTACCTAATTTCTACAGAATAAGACTTAAAAAATAGTGTTTTTTTCCTCAAAGCTGAGCATCTTCCTCCCCGTCCCCCACCATACTAATGGGAATATGAACATACTTGGATACTTGCATCAGCTTTGGGTATGGGTTACAGAGTGTATACTTGCCAGTATATGTAAAGATTATGCAGCTGTTTATTTCAATAAATATTTCATTAAGAAGTTGCACATAAAGACAGAATTTCTGGTATGCAAAATAATCTATTAGTTATGAAGTAAAATAACGAAGGTGTATACATAGACCACTCTTGCATCTCACTGTATCTGTGAAAAACTCCTGTTTGAGTACACTTATTTGCACGAGTTGAAGAAAAAGAGTGCAAAGGACTGCAGTAAAATCACATCTATTCACTTTTAAAATTCTTGAATCAGATGGAAACACTATCATTTCACTAGAACTGTTAGGCAGCTTTTAAAAGCAGCAGCAAACAGGAGTTAAAAAAAGAGGTTAAGGACAGTGGAGAAGGGAAAGGGGATAAATGAGGGTCTCTTACCAACTCCTTCACCTGTTGGTGCGCTCCTGTCTTTGGAAGGTTTTCTTCATGGATCTTGCAAAAGTATTTCTCTAATGTGTTATCAAAGCAGTGGACTTCTAGATTCTGTTTTAGTCTCAGCAATACTATAGCAAAAGTGATTTTAAAGCCAGTTGTATTCAGTGAGTTCTGTATATTTATTTTTTTGTGGTATCTGTGTCAGTGCATTTCTGCGTTAAAGACAAATGTAGTATTCATTTAGTCTGTTTTCCACCTTTCTTGTATTAGTACTTCCTATTTGGGAAAAAAAATTCCTCCTGAGTATTTATTTGACAAGGCTTATGTTTTACAGTTCAGTTTTACAGAAAGCTTTGGTCATGCCAGTATTTGGCCTAGATGAAGTCAGCTAGTGTTGGAAGAGATTCCTATCAGTTGGACAAGGCAAGACTTTTTGTGCTGGTTTTTTTATGAATAGGCCCAATTTAGCCCTCCCTGAAAATCCTTAAAAGAAATTCTTCCTGACTTTATGCTCCAGTGTTCCCTGACCTTGCTTACCTTGTGTGTTAGGACCTCCATTCATGCTGTGGCTCTAATGAGGTACGTTCCTCTTACAGTGTTGTGACTCACAGCCCTGATCTGTTGCTAACCTCCAAGGCCTAGTTTTGCAAGAAGTTACTATGTAAAAGTTAGCATTCAACAAAAATTACCATGGGTAGCTCTGTCCAGTCACAAGAATAGCACAAATTTGAATTTTTTTCCAGCCATCTAATGTCTGATGAGAACGTTCAGTAACCGATTTTTTTTTTTTTGTTTGTTTGCTCTCTGGTGAACTCTATCCATTTCTTAAATGAGACACAAACAGCTTCAGGAATTCACTGACATAATGTGAAGAGCAAAAACAGAAAAGCAGATGCTTCGTTCTTGTTCTGCCATTTGCTAGCCTGTGTAGGTGTTTGGCCAGGAGAATCTAATAAACTAACTACAGCAGCAAAAGATATTAACATTTGGATAATTGCTCTAAAGAAGAACAAAAAAGTGAAATGGAATATTCCCTGGAAACATACTCAAGTGCAATAATACTGTCTTAAACTCCTCACGTGGAAGAAATCCTCTGTGCAGAACCACCTAATCAGTAATAAAATAAGTCGTTCAAGACACAATCCATAAACCATTCTTTCTCCATCGAAAAGGAATGCATTCCTTGCTTGTGAAATGACCGTCTGATGATGACGATAATCTCTCCATCGCTACAGCAGTGGAAAGCAAATTGAGAGCAACAGCAAAGGAAAAAATAGTGGGAGAAGAGGATGGGGACTAGTGGGAATGAAACCAGTGGTTGGGCAGTGACACTGCAGCTGAACCATCTCTTGATGAGAACTCCTGATACAGGTTCAGCTTCTCTTATGCCTGATGCAGTTAGGTAATAATGCTCTGTTAATGTGAAACAGGTGAGACCACTTTGTTGTCTGTGGTCCCACTTACAAACAGAAATGTTTGCCTAACTTGGGATGTGCCCAAGCAGGACAGTAAAATTAAAAATTAGTAGTACCTTTGCACAGCTACCAATTTCTTGTCATAAAGTCTTGTTAAAGTTTCAGTACATAAAACATTTTTGAGGAATGTGGTGTCTCTTGGGTGACAAATCTGATACTGGTGTGTGCCTTTAACAAACTAATTTACAAATTATTTATTTAAATGAACCAAAAGATTTATTAGTACATTTTTAGTGGATTTGAGGAAGGATAACCTTTATCCTTCATATAAAGTCAAGAAGCTGAATCCTTGGTTTTACTGCAAAATTCATTCATAACTATGGAACTGTGACCAGCTTTTTCCACAGCATCAGAAGTGATATAATAAATCCAGGTGCAAAATTGTCCTCCTTGACACTGATTTGAGCATCATAAGAGCTTCTGTCTTTCATGGTTCTTGCTTGGGGGCTTTTGCAAATACTACCTCAACTATGAAATAGTAATGATAAGATTATCATTTTTATGAGAATGCATGAAAGACAGTTGAAAACCGGTTATAGAATTTCATGCTATGTGGAATGGAGAGAATGTCCCTCCATCTTCGGTAATAGACTTAACCTAGCTATTTGAATCTAATTAATAATATAAGGGAACTTTTATTCTAAGGCCAGCTAAAGTTGAGTTTTTCTACAATTCCTGAGGCAACATCCTCTACCCCAGCAATATGTAGGAAGTCCTTTATTGGAATACAGATGTTATTTAAAAAAAAAGCCCAACCAATACCTAGTTTATGACATTTCTGAAACTGCTGGGAAATCTTCAGTATTAGGCCGACAATTATTCTTAATCATGACGGATTTCTTTTTCCCAGTCAGCCAGATTGCACTTATTTATATAGTTCACCAATTCTGTTTTTCTGACACGGATAAGGAAAAGAAGGTTATGCTCAAATTCTGTTTGCAGGTTGAGCTGGTGCTAGTAGCTGCCAGCAATGTAAATTTAACCTCATCAAATTGTTTGCTAATGAGAAACATGCAGTACAACCAAGTGAAAGTAATTAGGTCAGCAAAGATTTTAAAGATCTTTATTACTATGTGTTTGATAGCTCAGCAGTTGTCTTCTAATTTAGAAGAGGACCAGAAAGAACCTGTCTCTCTGACCTGTACAGAGGCTGATGTTAAGTGAGCCCATGCTGTATTCTCCTGCCTCCTCCCACTTTTGCCCATCTTCCTCCTTTGGTACTCCTTGCCATTCAAATAGGCTTTTTCCATCCTGAATCAGTCCTTTCATTTGTACAGATACCAGAGACCATTTTACTTTGACAGTGCAGGGTACAATGGTGTTTGAATCCATAACTACTGCAAGTGCTGATAGGAATAACGAATACTCACAGATGCACTATATTTACTTGGACTGCTTGGTTGATGTATTCGCTTGCAAATCTTGAGTCACGTAATTGTAAAAGCATGAGGGTAAACTTTCATTGTAATTTTTGAGGCATCACTGCTTTAAGAATTTAGTTAAAATACATTCTGGTTTTTGAATATGATTTTTATATTTGGTAAAGGTCTCTTTCCTGGAGAATGAGATTCAGTATGGTATTTATTATTACGTTGCATGGAAATAAATCGTATAGTCATTACCACGACCAAAAGGTTGGTTGCAATGCAGGTCTGTTGGAAGCTGGGACAGACCCTGACAGACAGGTTAGCTGAATGGTCATAACTCAGCCAATCCTTGGACTTCATAGTCACTTTAAGTTAAAACATTTAGTTGGATATGAGAAGACTTTTTATCCTCGGAGGAATCAGGTTTTGGATTAGCTTCCTGCAAAAAGTAGGCCTTTTTTTTTGAATGGACCTTGATGAGTGTAGGAATGACAGCCTCTGTAATATTTGTCCAAGTTATCTGAGGTTGGACTTGATGGCCCAGGATGGGACTTTGTCTACAGTAGTAAGGAAGCTTGCTCTTCCAGTCTTCCTTTCTCTGTGAGTATTTGACATTTTTATCAGATAAGTTTTTTTTTTTGTTTGTTTTGTTTGTTGCTTTTTTTTTTTTTGGCTGTGAATTCTCTTTCTGGAAAAAAAAAATATGGGTCCCTCCTACATTCTATTAAAATGCAATTTTCTACAGGTGCTTCTGGTTAGCTTCTTAATCAGAAAAGTCCAGGCACATCTGCTTTTTAAGACTTTTTTCCCCGGACGTGTCTGTGCACCCAAGGGATGTATCTCAAAGGTAGAGAGGTTCAGGGCACAGCCTGGTCATTCAGTGGGGTGCAGGGCTGTGGCTGGACCAAGCACGCTTCCAGCTTCTGGGTCTCTGCAGGGTGCTTTGCTGCATGTTGTTGACTGCAAGAGCATATGTGATGGAATATACGTGCCTAAAACTGCACGTCAATATGCCTGTTTGGATTCCAGAACTGACTATGCAGATAATTTCTAGCTGATGAAAAATTAGCAAAATCACTGGCTCTTAGATTCATAAGCATTTTTAATGCCTCTTCAGCACCTATGCTTACGTTTAGATATCTAAACACCTTTAAGATTTGCTTCCCAATATTATGGTGGCTTGGATTGGGAATATTCAAAGGGAAATAAGCAAAATAATCTATGAAGGTGAGGTTAGGAGAGCTCTACCTTCCCATAACTTTTTTTTTTTCCCCAGCATGGGACTTTCTTGTGACA